GGGGGGCCGCGCCGAGCCCGGCGGAGGGGCGGAAGGACGGCCGCGAGCGCGAGCCGCGGAGGCCGCGCTGCCGCGGGGAGGGCCGAGCCGGGAGGCGGGGCGGAGGGGGTCTGTGGGCGGGCCAAGGGGGCGGGGCGCGGCGCGGAGGGGCGGGGCGACGGCCGAGGAGGGCGGGGTGGAGGGCCGAGGAGGTGGGGCGGAGGGCCGAGGAGGGCGGGCCCAGGGCCGAGGAGGCGGGGCCGTGGTCGGTAGCCCCGCCCCGTAACTGATGGCCGACTGAGGGGATGGGTGGGTGTTGTCCGGCTCAGCAGCTGGGGTTATGGCTCGGCGACAGGGTCACGGAGCAGCGCGGCATTGTGGGAGGCCCCGGGGCCGGTGGGCCGAGCCTGTAATCTTTCTTGCCTCCAGCAGCTCACTGGCTTCGGGGTCCGCCCGTTAGAGACCCTCCAGCTGCCCCCGCTGCTCTGCTGGCAGAAGGCACGGCCTGGCCTACTCCCAGGGCTGCTCTGAATGGCTTTTCCTTTGCAGTAACTGATTAGCTGTCCACTACGGCAACCAGTTATGACTGCCGCAAGTGAGGAGAAATAGAAATGAAGAGAAGGAATCAGATGTAACAAAGGTCTCACTGGAAAGGCTGAGGCGGGAGGATTGCCACAAGTTTGAAAGAGTGTTGGGCTGCTTGTCCACCCTTAGCAACAGGCATTGTCAGACCACAAAGAGGGAATCATATTCAGTTAAAGAGCTGAGAGAATAGGGCAGGAGTTGGAGCGAGTAGGGCGGGGATTTTGCCGTAAGTTCAAGGCCAGCCTAGGCTGCATACTTTGGTTCCAGGACAATATAGGTTACAGAATGAGACTGTCAAAAAAGAGAAAGAAATCTTGCATTCTCCAAGGACTAGTTTGAATTGCTTTTCCTCTGAGTAGCTGTGATTCAGCCTCCCCAACCCCCCTTAGTAGCAAGCAATGATAGAGGTAACAGACAAGAAAAAAAAAGGAAAGAAAAGAAAAAAAAAAACAAAACAGCAAATGAATCAGAGGTGAGTAACCGAAGTTTAGAAAGAACTGGGCTCGGATTCAAAGAGCACACCCACACACCTTTAAAAATAGCCTTTCATCAGCGGAGGCCATCGCCACACTGACCTGAAAATGCAGGTTCATGTTGTTTTCACTGTTTTTTTGTGTCGTGCAGTGAGCGGAGTCGACAGAATTCAGTCTCTGGGCCAGTGCTCACACACGCCAGAGCTCAGCAATACTTACTGATTTGAGAAGAGACAGGGTCGCATGCCGGGGGTGAGCTGCAGGACGTGTCAGAGTTGTAAAATGTCCCCTTTAGTGCCCTGGCACTCACTTTTCCTCAATAGTTTCTCACTGTTGGAGGGACGGCTTTCTTTCTCAGACATTTGTTTTCTCTTGGGCTTTGGCCTGCAGTTAGTTCCTCTGCCACCCATGGAGAACCGAGGAAGGAGAGACTTAAGCAGAGGAAGGCAGCATCTGAAGAATTTGGTGAGAAGCTTTTCTTCTGGTAGTCAAAAACAGCATTCGAGGAAATGATCTTCAGTGACCCCGTGGGACTGGTGTCCTCCCTTAACCCTGCTGGACTCTTTTCAAAGGAGTCTTCTGGCCTTAAGGTAAACAGACCCAAACATCTTGTCAATCACCCTTGTCAATCACCCACTCCACTGGACGGTACCAGCTGCCAGCCTGATTGCCAAAGCCAATAGAAAATGTTAATGTCAGTTGGTGCCCTTTCAAGTGTTTACCAGTCTTGGCCTCCATGTCCACTATGGGTAGAAGCCTTTCCTAAGACCCAGGCATCCAGGGAGCTTCTCATCCCCGCCTGGAGCACAGCCTCATCGACAGCTGCAAAGCCAGTGGACTTCTCCCAGTTCTGCATAAACAGAGAGATCCGTTCCTCAGCCCCATTTGGTTCATGCTTTTTTTTTCCTCCCGTGTATAATACAAATTGTTTTACGCTTTCTTAGCCAGGATCATGTACCTGTCAGGCTTTCCTGAGATGATGCCAAATGTCTTGGGTAGGATTGATAAACAGTTCATACTTCCTGGTTCTGATTCTATTCCTGGAAAAGCACCCAACTAGACTGAGAACACTCTGTGACGTAATCAGATTGTAGACAACAACTTGAGAGGAAGACTTCAGAAGAGAAGCAACTCCAAAGAGCAGCCACTGCGGAGAGTAGCATGAGAAGAGGCGCTGCCCTGGAGAAGCATTACCAAGCACTCCCTCATTCTGAAGTGAGGCAGGAAGAAAGGCTATGCTATACGGTGATAAAAGAGCCCTACACTCTGGAGTGTGTGAGGCCTCTCAACAGCTGAGATCAAGGACTGCAGCACAGGGGGTATTTTCTGTGAATGTTGCTGATGTGGGGCCCGTATGTATCTTAGAGAAAAATACTTACAAATAAAAATGCTAAAATACCAGTAAATCAGGCTTCAGGCTTGGACCCATCTGATCTTGGACAGGACCTCACTTTCCTCCTGGAGATTTTTCTGGGCTCTCATAGCAAAACTGCTAACTTTTGTCCACAGCGAAGGGAAGCTACCTCGACTTTCTATGTCCCTGGCAGGTGGCTAAGTGTGAGTCTGCCGGGGCCGCCTCAGGAGACACATTGTGATCTCATTTAAGCTCCTCGCAGGCCTTTGGTGATGAAAACTTAAGAGCCCACAGAGCTCTGTGTCCCGATGTACAGACGGTGGATTAGCGCTCTCCTCCATACGCCCACACCCATGCTGTCAGGTGTGCCTGACTCTTCCTGACGGCTCTCGTTGGCCGTCCCCCTGCATGTCTAAAGTCTATGTGACAATGTGTTTTAATAAAAACTCCATCTCTGCCTTCTATTACCTTGTCCTGGAGTTCTTTCTTGTGTCAAAGGCAAGGTTGTGGTGCCACCTGAGTGAAGTCCCCACTCCCTCCGCTGTTGCTGGTTGGTAGCCTAGAACGGTAGCCTCCACCACTGTAGACAGCTTTCTATTGCTGCTACAGGAAATAGTCACAGACTTGATGTGTTATCTTACAGTCCTGAAGCTTAGAGATCTAAAGCCGTGGTATGGTTCCCAGGCTCCTTCTAGAGATTGGAGAGGGAGACTTACACATAGTTCTGAAAGAACATATCTCTCTAGACATCCCCGCCAATTCTTGTGTATGTCCAGTAGAGCCATTTTGCCAAGTTTACATGGCATGTGCCTAAGCCAGCATTTCCCAAACTAGCCCACCAGAGGACACCAACCTGTAAGGCAGGGTTCTGGGAAGTCACTTCTCCATGCTTGGTGTCCTGGTAACTCCTCTGTTGCTAGGATAAAATACTCTGACCAAAAGAAACTTAGAGGAGAAATAGGTTTATTTGACTTACAATTCCAGGTCATAGTCTATCACTGAGGGAAGACAAGGCAGGAACTGAAGCATGAACTTGAGAGCAGGAACCACAGAGGAATATCGTGTGCTTGCACACTTACAGGTTGAAGTTTAGCTGGCTTTCTTAAGCAGCCCAGGACCACTTGCCCAGGGAATGGTGCTGCCCACTGTGGACTGGGCCCTCCTATCTCAATTAACTCACAGACATGCATGCAGAACCAACTGATCTAGGTAATTCCTCAATCTAGCCCCCCCACACACACACCAGATAACTCTAGGTTATATAAAATTGGCAAAGCTAACCAAGACAGTCAGTGAGGTGACACAGTGGTGAGCCCATTCTGAACTGGCAGATGTACTCATACCCTGAAACAGGGGTAGTCAGTGTGCCAGAAGTCACTAGGGGCAAGGGTCCTAGGAAATTGCTTTGCAAGGAAGTCTGGGGAGCAATCAAGAAATGAAAATTATATGCAGCACTGCCAATAATCAGTTATGGAACTGGTTGTAACTTACAGAGTTGTTTCTTTTTTCTTTCTTTTACTCCACTCTATTTCACCCATAGTAAATGTCCAAGTTTCGAGCCTCAGATGATGGTTCATTCATGTCCCTGAAACTGTTCGCCTGAAGAGCCCAGTGTCCTAAAGCCAGGGTCCTGCTGTGTTCCTCCTCTGTACCAGCTGTCTGACTCAGACTAGGATCTCAGCTAGCAACAAATGAGAGGATGATGATGTAAATCGAATAGCTAGTACTATCTCTTCCGTATGTTTCTTTCCTTGTTCTTCCTTCTAACGTGTAAGAGACACATTACTTTAGTTAATAATTAAATAAACTGATACTGGGATTAAAAAAAAAAGAGCACCATACAGTGTCAAGCTTTCATGAACTCATAGCCCACCTAAGGAAACATGCTTTTTAAAAGAAGAGTTTGTGAGTTGAAGAGAAGGCTCGGCAGTTAAGAGAGTATATTACTCTTGCAGAGGGCCCAAATTCTGTTCCCAGCACCAACACGTGTGACTCCCAAACTGCTGCAAGCACAGATCAGGAGGTCTTCTATCGCCTCCTGGTCTCCACGGGCACAGCATCCAGTGCACAGATCCACACCTACATACACATAATTAAAAACAAAATCTTAAAATATATGCACGTGTCAAGGAAAACTGAGGCAGGTGATGGTGGCTGCCCGTCCCGTTCTCCTTTTCACTTTCTTTCTCTATAGCAGAAACCTGGTTTTGTGCTCAGCTGAAATGGTTCATTTTTATACCCTTCTTTACAGACATGCGTTATTAGTTAGGCCTATGATGAGACGAAAGTTGTCTAGGAAGACAACTCCCTTGATGCTGGTAGCGATCGACTGCTGCCTCAGGCTTTATCACCACCTGAATCGTGGCTGTGGCAGCTGTGGCTATCCAACAGCCCTGTGGCACCACAGAGGCTCAAAGTCCTGCTGAAGAAAACAACAGAAGGATCAAAAGAAGAGCCAATCGAAGAACCCCAAACTACTTATCTTCAGATTTCTTTTATGTGAGAGAGAAGTAGCAGGTCTCTTATTATTAGCCAAACTATCAAATTGATGCAACAGCTAATTAGACTATGATAGCATTGGAGGTGTAGAAGTATAGACAGTTTAGGAAGGATGGATCGCCACCCAGAGATTAGGAAGGATGGAGTGCTACCCGCAGAAGGGATGTTGGAAAGAGCTTCCCAGAGAAGCAGAGGAAGAGGTCTTCCTCTGAGAGGCAGAGGAAAGGGTCTTTAGGTCTGATGTCCTGTGAATGCCTGAGGTGAGGCTGAGGAAGCTGGCAGGGCCAGCGTGGCCGAAGAAGTTCCTGTCTTTGGTTTAGATGGACAGTTTGGTATTAAGCATAGGAAATTATGGAAACCTTTGAGATTTTAAGAAGTATTAAACCCCCTTTCAGGGTTTCATGTGGCCTCAGCTGCGTTGCCAAGGATGAGCCGTCAGCCCCTACCTGCCAGGTGCTGGGAACACAGGTGTTTGGCACATGCTTTATATGACACCCAGGCTCCAACCCAGGGTTTCCTCATAGTAGGTCAGCACTCTAGCTGGGGAGCCAGTTGTTACAAGCTTTTGCCTTCCTGCTTTGAAAAGAGAATAATAGTGTTTCCTCTGTTGATTTTGTTAGTTCAAATTTAGTCATTTTGTTCAGAGTGTGTGAATAGAGGCATTTCGAGATCCTCGCTCCTCAGAACTGTCACGCCGTCCACTTGCACAGTAGTTGTAACGTAGAAGGAAAGGAAGTGGCATCTCCTAGCCTCGTCAGCGTGTGTTAGAGAAGTGTGCCCTCCTGCCGGTCCTCAGGTGCTGCAGGCTGCGGCACCCTCTGGACAGTGTAGTCTCCTTAACTAACGTAAACTCTGTGCAGAAACTCCAGGAGCGCTCGTATCTAGCACATTAACACTGATAAATAGTTTGTTCCTAAAAATTAAAGTTCAGAGCTGGGCATGATGGCAAATGCCTTTGATCCCGGCACTCACAGGGCTGAGGGAGGCAGATCTCTAAGAGTTCAAGGCCAGCCTGGTCGACATAGTGAGTTCTAGGCCAGCCAGGGATACACAGTGATACTCTGCCTTAAAATTTTGTTTTTTAATTACTAAATTAACAACCATCCCTCACTAATAATAATAGGATGGGAAAATAACAGTCAAAGGATTTTTTCAATCAACAAAGTACAGCATGGAAACAAAAAAAAAAACATAAGCTACAAATGGAAACTGTAACAGATTAAACCAAAAGGAACCTGTTCAAATATATTAAAAAATGAGATTTAAAATTTTGGGTCCTTCCTTAGATGGAAGTTAGTTAAGAAGATAATCCCACGGAAATTTTAAAATGTCTTGGTTCTTTCATTATGAGTTAGAGAACGGATTTGGGTATTTGGGATTAAGATGGGGGATTCTACAAGAGCCTATTTTAGGATCACAGCATTGTGGGGAGACAGTAGAGGAGGGACCAGATGTTCCTGAAGCGGCACCCTCATAAACACACCCAGTCAGATCTGAGCGCTGCAGCACCCTCTCAAGCCAGGCGCCACACTCCTGTCTCCCTGCACCTCCGCAGGCCCGTAACTGGGTTTCATAAGGATGACCCTGCTGTGACTTCTGAGTCACAGCAGGAAGACCGAATTGTGCTCTGCTTTGCCTTCGTGTATTTAATTACAGTTTTATTAGTTGCAACCGAGGAAATCCATCTGCCTTAGAGCACTGCCACACTGACCAGAGCCTTCTCACCAGAAGCCCAGCTGTCACCCACAGCCAAGTTTTCAGGCCATGGAGGGAAAGCCTGAGAAGCCAGGACAGCACGAGAGATTTTAAAAGGGGGGGGATATGGTGACAAGAATGATTGTCAGGGTGTAACGTTATCATCCCCCCCCCCCCCATATTGTGAAAGAATTGCCACAGGTGTGTCTGTTACTAATAAGTGGCAGGTAGCTGATCCCTTTAATAACTGTAACACCTCGTGTCGTCATGAGGAACAACAGGGGTGTGTTTTCAAACATACCTTAAGTGCACGTTTCATATGCACGCACACATGGATACAGACTTTAAAACCCTTACTGAAGGGAGCGATGGGGGCGCAGACAGCTGACAGGAAGACAGGCCACAGTGGAGTGTGGAAGGCATCCCTCCCATCTGGATGCTCCCAAGACGGGATGTTTTCACCAGAGAAAGTGACTGAGGTTTCTGTTTTGGTACGTTCTGTGCTTGGCATTTTCCCAAATGCTCGCACACCCTGGCAGCAGCGCTGTGATCTGTGGGTGAGGGCGGAGGCTCTCCAGTGATGCCGCTGATTTTGAGCTGTCCCTGCGCCTGGAAGCAGCCCCAGGAGAAAGTCGTGGTTCGCCAGGCTGGACTCGGTGCAGTTGTTGCTTTGGTCTGCCCCGGGTTCCCTTTCTGGGGGAAGAAGAGCGGCATGCTGTGTCTCCCCAGAGTGTCTCACACCACAGGGAGAGTCAGCCGAGTGTATGTGGGAATTCAGGTAAGGGTTAGGACAGACCTGCCCTAGGCACATAACGCGCACAGTTCTGCTTCTGTTCTGTACTTCTCTCCCGCCATTTACTTCCTGGACAGAGTGGATGAGTTTCCCGTGTTTCCTGGTTTGGGGAAGGCTGTGATATTTGCATCCATGTACCGACCTGTCTTCTTCACATGTTAACGTGAAGCTCACTGCTTCACACACAGCGTCTGCACAGAACCTGGAAATCACCGCAGCACTAACCGGGAGACAGTCTGTGTAGCCGAAAAACCAGAAACATCACTGCAAGAGCACGACCACGGAAGCTCTGGACCCAGGGTCTTCGTGGACTGGAGATTCTCGTGCTGGGGATGCTCAGTCTGTGTTAGGTTCCAAACACCGTTTTTCAACAGTATCTCATGGGTTCTGTC